ATATGACATCATGCATATGGCATTGTAAGCAGCACTGAAAGGCATCATTGTGTGTTCAATGCGAACTTCAGCATGCCCAAGATGCCCACAGCAACAGATCTTACATACTTAGCAGGAATGTTAAAGATGTTCAATGTTTTCACAGTTTTTTTTTTTTTTGCGAGGAAATGTGCTTTTATAGGTGATTTGGGAGTCTGATTCAGATGCCCTGTGGGAGTTTTATTTTTTATTGTTTTGGCTCCAGAAAACCAAAAAGACAAGGGCCAAGATGTCAAATTCAAGGATTTAAAAAAAGGCAATCAACAATCCAGTTGGTCATGTCATGATAGCTTCAGCCATCTTTTATGCAGTCAATGATCTAATCGGGCTTAAAGTGAGGGAAGACAAACTTTGCAAATGTATGCCCGTCAGCACACTGTTGGAAAAAGTTGATTGAGTTGACAATGGCAGCAAGACAAATGTAACCTGTGGAGACAGCAGGGGGCGGAAGTTTTGGTAGTATGCTAGTACAAGCAGCCGTACTAGCAGACCCAAAAATCAAACACTAATTCTTGTCAGAACTCAGTCTTTAGTTATCACCGTCTCTATAGCCTGTTTCTGTTTCTGGAATTTACAACCGTACTGTGTGGGTGAGAGTGGTGGAGTGACTCTTCTGACATTGTTAATACGTTTGAGCCAGGTTACATGATAGCAAACAGACTGAGTTGGACGATTTTTAATGAATCGTCATGTGGTGGACACTGAAGCTTCAGTGTTTAGCCAGCTCTCCACCGGTCTTAAAACCTTTCTGCGCTCTAACCTCTCTCCATTTTTCTTTCAGAGGTTTTTCAGGTCGGGTGGAATCACTTCTATCTGAACCGGTACACCTGCCCCGCTTCCATCCCTACCACACCTGGTTGGTTTGGGGCTTTCAAATGGCCAAAGAAAAATGTTTCCTTAATGTGTGATGATATAGTAATGAAATTTTACGGTCACATGTGACTCCGTACATATCTTACATATAAGTAAGAGAATGGGGAATGACATGCGGGAAAGGAGCCACGGGTCGGATTCGGACCATAGCCTGCATACATGGGGTTTGCGCATTAACCACTAGCCTGCTGGCGCAACCAAAAAAAAAAAAGAACACCTGATTATGAAGGTTAAGATTCCCCCCAAACCATAGTAGTTAACACCCTGGATACATAAATGCAGAAACCAAAGCTATTATTCATATAGGTATAGTGATATTTATGTCTGGACCGGTCACTGTCGTCATTGCCCACTCTAGAGACCTGCTGCTAGCGTGGCCAAAATTGGAAGCGTATTTATAGTGCTGTATGTCGATGCTTTGAACCTTAACAGCTCCTGTACAACACAAACTCTTTCTTCAGCAGTGCCAGTCCGGACTCTTTTCCTGGCCAGTTTTGATGCATTTGATGCAGTTCAGAGTCTCATGAGGCCCTTTCTGTTCCAAACGCTTGTCTAAATGCAGCCTGCTTTTGTCCTAATTTATCACAAACTACGTGTCAGACTGCAGCCTTCAGTGAAATATGCAATAGGAGGTGTAGTCAGAGGATCCTCTTACACTTAATCAATCAGCCTGCACAAGATGTGTTGGACAAACCTGTATAACCTAGATCACTGTGAAGGACTGTGAGGCATGGGAAGCAGTAGTAAACAATGAAACAGTGAAGCTGTCACAGAAGATTTTGGTATGAAACTCAACACAATGCATATTTTTGGCGAGCGCTGACAAGTGATGCTTTGTCTTCAAATGCAGAGAAACGCAGACCGCACAAAGCTCAGAATGCATTCATGTGTGTTCATTCTGCAAAACCGGTTTTGGAGAAACCGGTTTCTGTCTTAAAACATGTAGACGCACACACGCGCACGTACACTCAGGTCTTCAAGTTCAAGCAGAGGAAGAGTGGATGCTGCATCACAGTTTCATGCACTCCTCCTTTAAACGGCTTTAAACGCCTCACATGTATCTGTAAGTAAAAGGCTCCACCTAGTGTTTGTGTTGATTCAAAGAAGCTTCAGATAAATCATCATGGTTGTAATGTGAACTAGGGCTGACCCCCTGATTCATTCGTCAGAGCCTCAGGCGACTCTCACAGTCAAGCACAAGGATAAATTACAGCTACAGGGGGGTGTTTAATGTCTAATGTTACATAGATTTGTCCGTTCAAATACTTCTCGACTCGTAGACTATCTTGGCGTAAATATCACCTTATTCATACTTTTAGTGCAGTTCTGAAAACCACACGTACTTTACATCGATCTCCTTAGTGTGTCTATGAAGAAATCCACCAGAAGTGTTGATAGAAGCAGCATTATCCATGCTTAGAGAATTTCATTTTCTTCTTTTAAAGATTTATTTTGGGGTGTTTTATTGTAGAGATAGGACAGGGGAGAGTGGGGAGATGACATGCAGGAAGGGAGCCATGGGTTGGATTTGAACCTGGGCTGCCTGTTTAGGTCTAAAGCCTCTGTACATGGGCTGTGCACTAACCTCTTGGCTACCGGCGCCCCAAGAATTTCATTTTCTAGACGTCAGTCATCGGCACAGGTGTGTGCAATAGGCCATCAGAACAGGGGGGAGGCACCTCCTTTTCCAACAAAGGCTCTCATTGGCTGTCATAGGCTGCTGGCTTGTTATGGATCTAATGTGTTTGGATTAAATCTTTCACTGGATTGAAATCGTTGGGACTCATTTTTGGATTTGGATGATTATGAGCTGAAGCGTTCAGTTCATCTTCAAATGGTGAGTTAAAAGACGCTCTTTGTTTGTTTGACGCTGGTCTGACCCGCACACGCTGGGACGTCAGTGTGTCTGCTGTATTGGACAATATGGTTATAAGGTCACGTTAATGCAGACTTAATGAATAAGATCGATGATGTCCTATCATAGATTCAATGTTATTCCAAGATTAGAAGATAAATGCTGATGTGATTAAAATCTGAAGAACCAGGCTCGACTTTGTAAATCCTTAGCTGGGGACAGAGGCCTAATGTAAACCCTGAAATGTCCCTAAAGGTTCTCTTTATAGTGCCCCCTAGTGGTCTTTTATATTACAACTTTTATTTCACATAACAGAGCAATATCATTCTGCAAATATAAACATACAGTGAAGTTCAGACAAATGTGGAAAATGACTCTTTTCTTATTGAGATACAAATATCTTTATTTAGATCAAAATGTTTACAGTGTATGTACAGTGTAAGCTTACATCCTCAGAAAAATTACTCCTCTAGTTTCTCTCTTTTTCTTCACAAAGGTAAGCACAAATAAATCAGTTCACAAAGCAATAAAACATGTGATATCCTGGCTCTAAAGAAGTCCTGTAAACTGATAAATGCGGGGATAATATTTAGACCCAAGCTGCCACTTTGATAGATGTGAGATCATGTCTGTAAAAACAACATGTTATATATGTTTTAGGTTTTGACTATATATGATTGTGAGGCATCAAATATCCCTTTATAGGTGTTGCTGATTGCTTAAATCAACATTTATCAGCTGTAAATGAGTATTGAGAGCATACATCAAAAAATAAGCTACATCTGGGTGCTGGTGGCGCAGTGGTTAGTGCGCACCCCTAATGTACTGAGGGTTTAGTCCTCCAAGCGGGCAGCCCAGGTTCAAATCCCCCCCCCCCTCTCCCCCTGATTTCCAACTCTATCCACTGTCCTATCTCTCCAATAAGGCACTAAAAGATGTAAAAAACAAGCTTCATTACCAGAGTCAAAGACAAAATATCCAATAACTTTTATATTACATACATGTGATTCAGGATTTAAAATCTTCATTTCCCACTGGATCAACACCATATCATTTAGTTCCACAGTTAGTAAAGGTGGCTTAAATTGACTCCATATTAGAATATACAATAAGGTATTTACAGTCCTGTCAAGTTTTCTCTCTTTACTTTTCTTGAACTTCTGCTGCCAAGTTTTCTTTCACAGCAACGTACTATTTCCACGACCCGCATCAGTTTTCCGCCTCTCTTCTCAGACTTCTCCCCTTTTGCAGCATCTGCGTAGCGGAACCGTTGAATAAACTCCTACACCCGTTTCTCTTTTGTGTGTTTCCTGAAGTTGAGATCTCTCTAAAACTCTTTTCACACATACGGAAATCTCCTGAAAAACTCCGGAGATTTGGCTACCCGGAGGTTCTTTAGGCTATGTGTGAACGCGAACAGCCGCAGACTTTACCCGGAGTTTCTCCGGCCAGACCCCTAGTATTTTATCCGCAGAATATCAGAGTGAGCTGATGTCTGAACGCGGCAGCATATCCTCTGGAGATTTTCAATTCGAGCCAATGGGACCCGAGTGACATTTATATACAGTGACCGGCAAAAGTGTCTGCACGCAACCTCTACGATCTCCGTGCTCTAATTAAACGTCTGCATTCTGTTTTCTGTTCGTCAGTATGTTGTTCTCCTCTCTTTTCTGGATGTTGTCATTCCATTGGATTACACATAGCATTGATATAAAGGAAAATATTCTCATTATAACGTCGTGTAGCAGACTCTGTTGCTTCGGCCGCTACTTCCGCGTTGTTTATGTACGTCACGTCTTACCTCGGGAAATCCCCCGCGCCCCCTCCCCTCTGACAGGGAAAGTCCCCCGCTGTGAGGAGCATATGTGAACGGCTAGTTCAGGAGAATCTCCGGAGAAGTCCTCCTGTAAATATCTAGATATTATCCAGAGTGCATATGTGAAAACGACTTAACTCTGTAGCAGGTAGTATTTTGGGGGGGGTTTAAAACACAGCTATGAACAGCTTTAGGTGTTGTATCTTTACAGAAAAGCCTCCATAGATGTCTTAAATGAGCAGAAGACGTTACTGGGGCATGAGGACACCTGTTACGGGGGACATCAGGTTTGTAGGATACCTGAGTGACACAGCTTTAATGTAGTGCATTGTACTGCATTCTGCAACTGGCTGTGTAGATCTTAACATTGGTATGTACTCTGCATCCAATTCAAAAATTTCTCATAGAGCTCAAAAGTTATTTTGAAGTCTCCACTTTAAAACGACATAGCCTCGCCAGGAGACCCGAGCTCAACCGGACAGATAACCAGCGGCGCTGTGTTTTTGCCGTTGTCATGGAGACATGGGTTTAAGTACGGATACAGAGGCTCAGTGAAGGAACACCCGCTGTAAGTGTAGATATGGGTCTTTGCCTCGGCGTCGTAGAAGGACACAGACCCCGCCCCGTAATCCAGGAACACGCCCACTTTATTTGGGATGGCCTGGAGATTGAGGGAGATGGAGGGACCAGCGCAGGCACTCAGACTGCTGCCTTTTCTTCGGCAGATCGCCCAGTATCCGCTGTCAGGACGCACCGTGATGGCCCCCTTCCTGTTAATAGACTCCCTCGCCACTCCGAGATCCCAATCGCTTTTGTCACTAACCTGCAACACAACATTGAGAGCACAAAATTAGACAAACAAGCAAATGAATGAAGCTACATCGGCCATTTTTTGCTTTCTTTTTCTCTACTAATTTTCTTTATTTTAGCTTTGATTGAGATTCCCGAATCCAAAGCCAACCGGGACCAGAAATCAAAAGAGGAGCTCACACAAGGCTAATATGTTTATACACTTAAATGTTTGGAGGCATGGGGGAAAAGTGGGTCTGACTGCCTCGGGCCCCAATGAAAGAAAAGGGGCCCATATTGAGCCTGAAATAATTAATGTGATGGCCATGTAGCCTGTTAGGTTGCACCTTCTCTTGTCTTGTGTTGCAGGTACATGTAATTAGTAGGTGTTGCTGTCCAATCAGCCTGACTGAGAGCACCTGGGCCCAATGCTCCCATTCCGCTCAGAGAGACTTTTTGAATGCGCCATGTTTGGTTACTAAATTTTCCTTTTCCAACCAACCCATGCAGAATACTTTCTTCACACACCTACTAACCTACTGACTCTACTGACACCCAAAGCTCATTTATTTTGCAATTGGATTTATCTTTTTATAAATAAATCTGCTTAATTAAGTGTTATCTTGGTGTCTCTGCCCTTATTTGCCATGGCCTTTGAGCCAGTCATGACAATAGTATTTGTTTGGATACATGTCTCTAAAAGTAAAATTGGCCTAATAAAAGAACACGATTGTGCTCGAGGGGCTAGATATGATATTTATTTTTTATCCGGTCCCTATTAGATTTAATGTCAGCCATTCTTAATATTAATTCTAAAGCAGAGCAAGATACATTGGCCACAAGGGGGCGTGAGGAGTCTTTCAGTCACATCAAATACACACAGAGCAGATCTGCAGCAGAATCGAATTGACCAAAATAAAACATGTTAATTTGCAACATGTAGTAAATAATCATTGAAATGACTCAAATGAAAGCATATGAAAAGAGCTGTATGCTTCATAGAACAATTCAAAGACTACCTGTTTGTCTTTGCACAATTATATGAAACTAAATGAGAGCGTTATGAGATCTCAGGTATCTTTGTGAACTGACTTAATCACATTTTGTAACGTTCAACAATGTATTCAATTACAGAACATGTTTTTCAGGATGGTTAAGGAGTTATTATTGTAGTTGGAGGGTTGAGAATTCCTACCTGGATTACCCAGTAGCTTCTTCCAGAGGTGAAGCTTTGTTTCCCGAGAACAGAGACACAGGAGTCAAACCTGAGGGGATCCACTGGGCGACAGAGTTTCTGGCAACTTAGGCTTACCTGTGGGTCATCATAATAACAGTCAAAAACAAGAACAATTGTTCACTCAGAGTCCAAAACTTTCAAATTGCAATCATCAATAGTCAAAAGACCTTTTTGTAGGGATAGACTTCTTGCTGAGCCTATCTGGACAGTCTACTTTCATTTACCCAGGAAATCTCATTGTGTTCAAGACTAGGGTTTACATGATACCAGAGTTTTAAGCTTCAATATAATACTAACAGAAATCCAATGATATTGATACCTGTTCAATTACATAATGGGTTTTCTGTTCTTAAAGGCATGTGGCTGCAGGAGCTGGGGATCGAACCCTCAACTTTCCAGTTGAGAGACAACCGCCTCTACCAACTGAACCATATCAGCCATACCCCTGTTACACTAAAGCCTTGTAAAATAAATATAATTTATGTAAGGAGTGAAAGGGAGAACTAAAGGGTCATCTAGAAGCATCATGTTGGATATATAACATGGGGTCATCTGCATAATGATCGTTTTTTACACTACAGCGTTGCAGAATAAATATTATTTATGTAAAGACCGAATAGCAGTGGGCTAAATACTGATCCTTGAGGTACACCTTTACATGCAAATTGATTTGGAGACTTAATGAGAAACCAGTTGCAACAATAGCTTGAACTCTTACTAATATGACATGTTGTACATAGTTCAGTCAGGAATTCTAGAGTTACCCTTTTTCCATCCGGGGACAGAATGAGCCAGCCTGAAGCGGTCGCAGGATCCAGAGTCACATCCACTGGAGATCAAAAGAATGAATGGATGAGAGATGTGTGTGTGTGTGTGTATATATATATATATATATATATATATATACACACACACAAGTTATATTTTAGGTTGACTTAATCTCTATATGAAGTTCATATTCATACACGTACCTGCATATAGATTCAGTTGGATGGCTTCTACGAGGAAAAGAAAAACAAATGTTGTCAGTTTGTTATTTCATTTCATGGACAACTTGGTGCAGCAAAACTAGCCGCGATTTACAGAAGCCCTAAGCAGACAAATATCGATACATTTTACATAACTCTGTTTTCTGGTCACCTCAACTTAATTATCTCGTTATGTTGGGATCAAAACCCAGGTCTTCCCAAGATAACCATGAATTCCTTGAGATCTTGAGAATAGCTTGAGAAAAGCCCCCAGCCAACATGTAAAAGCCTGTCTAGTATATAGTGCGGTTTCAATAAATTCTGTTGTACTATGTGAAATAACAATAAAGGCATTCTATTCTATTCTAAAGAGTTAATTATTTCCCAACAACATCCCCGCAGAATTCACTGACCATCTGCTGATAGTTTCTTTTCCATTTCATTGCAGGCTTTCACCAAGTTGGAGAAAGCTGTCCTAACCATCCCAAGGTAGTCTTCTGAGAGCATTGAGACCTTCGACCAGTCCCTCATTCCCGTTGGAGCACTCAGAGACGAGAAACTCTGAATGAAAACAAGTGAGTAACACTAATTATTTTTGAGAACTTAAACAACCTTCATCAGGGATTGGATTTTTATTATTTGATAGACTTTGCACAAAGTTGGTACACTGAAAACCTGATCATTATGGCAAGACTTTCTTACCTGTATGAGATGAAGGGGTTCCGCAGTGTGCTCCAGTTGCTGCAGCTCAGTGCGTTTAATCTGCAGCTCGTTGATCTCCCACTCAATCTCTTTGAGAAGCCCCTCCGCTGACCTCTCAGAGGCTTGTTGCTTCTCCTCCATGTGCTTAATGAGCAACGCCTGGTTTGTCTCTATGGAGCTTATCACCATTGTGGCAACCTGAACACTTTTCTCTATCTCTCTGTCTTTATTTACCTGCAGATAAGCATACATTTCTCATGATTTATTGTAAAGTAAACAAAACCAGACATGATGGCACATCAATATATTATAGATTAAGGATAAAATGACAACACTGACTTTGCCCAAGTCCACTGAAGCCTTGATCTCATCACACTTGCTGAGCATGGTGTGGATTGCCTGTTCAAACTCTGCGTTGAGCTTTCTCATATGAGACTAAAAGATTGAACACAAATTCATCATCAGAAACGCTGTAAGGAACAACAGAAAAAGGCATGATGCATATGAAAATGATTCTATTTCAAAAACCTCTTTCCCTCACCCTGATCTTCTTGGATTCCGTGTCCATAGGAACAATCTTGTGGTGTTTGTGTTCCTTCTCTGTGCATTTCAAACAAACAGGTACATGATCGCTCTCACAAAACTTCTCCAGGAGCATGTTGTGTTGTTTGCAGAGGTGACTGTTGACAAAGGTGGCGGTATCAGTCAGCGTGTGCTTGGTCAACACTTGATCCCTCAGATGAGGTGTCAGGTGAACTTCACAGTAAGACTTCCTGCAGACAAGGCACGACTTGACACCCATTATTTGGCTATCGAGGCAGATGTCGCAGGGGACTTCATCAGTGATGGAGGATTGCTTAGGGGGAGCTTTCTTTCTTGGATGTACCTTGTAAATTGGCTTGCCCTTCAGAGATCTTTTGATAAAATATGGATCATGTTAATTTGACAAAAGCAATAAAGAAGGGTATTTCATGGTTTAAAAATTCAAACAAAGAATGTAAATATCAAGTGACCTTTTGAATCCTTCAGTGATCTCTTTTAACACGACGTTGATCCTGAGATCTGGGCGTTTTCTGAAAGTCTCTCTGCAGAGCGGACACTCCGTCTTAGGTCTCGAATCCCAGAAGGGTTTGATGCATCCCAGGCAGAAATTATGGCCACATGGGATAGAGACAGGGTTTTTGAAGAGGTCCAGACAGATGCTGCATCGAAACTGATCCTCGCACAGCGCGGGGGCCATATTTCTGATCAAAGAATAGAACTGTTTTACTTACTATTTTCCAGACTTCACCTCAGAAGCAATCATAATAAAAAGTTAAATTCAAATAATACACTTTTGGATTCTAAACTCCTTAATCCTTCATCATTGATGCAGAAAACGTAAAAAAAAATCTTAAACATCTTCATAATGCAAATTGCTGAAAGAAAAGTCATTGATCAGGTAGTTTGGGCAAATTCCCTTGAGGTGTTTAACTTGGAAAGTAATTCCAATACAGATTAAACAACATAAAAACATTACACACAAACAATTGCAGAATGTCATTGTACGCAGATGACATTTTACTTAACATGTCTAATACGTAAAATGATAATTAGGTCAAACTAATTAGTGCCTCGGCTCTTGGATTGGCAACAGAGCTTTCAAACTCTTTGAATGGATTCCAAAATACAGACAACAAAGACAGCAACAACATCATCACCTAATAAATCTTTATATGCAGTAAACTGGGCATATTCACTTTTGTCATCAGGGAATAAACTTGGGAATTATCTTCAATGAAGATACAATTTAGCACAGAAATACAAGATAGTAATCTATCTAAAAAATATATATTTTATGCAGATGACATATTAGTTTACATGTCAAATATGTAGAGTAATAATTTGGATCAAACTACTTAGGAAATGTGGGGAGAGAGCGGGGGATGACGTGCCCCAAATAGCATCAGGAACTGGAGTTGAACCTCTAACCAGGACTGCGACCTATGTACATTTGCTTCCCGCTTCACCAACTGAGCTTGACCAGCGCTCAACCTCAAACTTTTAAACTGGATTCCAAAGTACATACAACAAACACAACAGCTGTTTTGCATTACCAATATAATTTGCATTACCTATTGGCTCAATTACAATGTCAGCCTTGTATACACTGTCATAGATTTTAGAAATAAAAAAGAACTTAAGTTACTTGTGTGTTCTCCGAATGTTAAAAGTCTTTCTTCTAAAATACGTTGCACTTGTTTTGGTCTATCTCATTGTTGATGAGTATAATTGGAATGACTACTTTGATATTATATTGCAGCCACAAACAATGCACTGGCTACATACATGGTCATAATAAAAGTAATTGGCAACTTTACAGATAATTTTTTACTTGAATGAGTAATTGTTTTTGGTCTTAGAGAAGAACTAAAACCAGTACTGACCATAGGACAGCAATTATACTAATTGTACTGGTGCAAGTGCTGTTTAAATAGGGTTGAGCCACAAAAAAATAAAATTGACTTGAATTCTTATCCAATTATCCATTCAAAAAGTTTGACCTCCTTTTAATAGTGCAAATTATACATTTTCTCTGAAACTGATTCAGACAACAGATGCCGGCAGGACCTCCTCCCTTCACAAAAAAAAGTTGTCTTCCAATATTTGTATCATTATGAAGGTCACATATGATACTCCTTTTCAACCAGTTTTAACAAGTCTCAGTTTTGGCTCACCAAAAGTTAAGTTACTTGCTTAAAATCCAATTTCAGCCCTGCTCAGAGCAGTACGACGGAGGATTAGGGCCACGTAAAAAAAAAAAAAAAAACTAAATTTCCGAGTTTAATCTCGTAAATTAACAAGTTCGAGACCAGCCTGCGCAAAAATGATGAAAGTAGAACTCTTAAAGTCTTTAAAGAATAAAGTTGTTATTTTAGTCTATATCAGAAGAGCAGCAGCATCCTGTTGTCAAATGACAAACATGGAGCATCTTGTCCTAAAGGTTTCACTCATAAGGAAATAGTCTACTTCCTTGTGTAGTCGGTAAAAAAAGTTCAAGAGAAGTTTTCACTTCAACTTGCATGACCTTGTTTATCTGTAAAATGATTTATGAACAGGATACAAACTGGTTCTGCACATGAGACACTTTAACAAGGCAGACCGATAACAGACACAAATAGTTGTGTTGGGGCTTTACTTATGCAGATAAGAAACTACACATGCTTTTGGCTCATCATCATCTTCACATTGTCATAAAATATCAGCACCCTGACAAGATACTGCAAGAAACTGTGGCTTTTCCGAAGAAAGAACCACACGGACTTGGAAGAAGTTGTCTGCAGAGGAAAATACTTTAAGAGTTCTACTTTCATCATTTTGTTCAGGCTGGTCTCGAACTCATTAACTTACTCGTAATTTAATTGTATTTTCTCTTTTTTTTAGACTTTATTATCGTAAATTTAGGACTATAATCTTGAAATTTAAAAAAAATTTTTTTTAACATGGCCCTCATCCTCCGTCACCAGTTTTTACCTGGCATTATTATTAAAAATGGTTCAGAGACCCACTTTGGGTGTTGACCCACCAGTTGAGAGCCACTCATTTAAATTGGTGTTATGGTTTTGATTCAGTATTATGCTGCACTTTTTTCCTAGGATGGTGTAGAGATGACTCTCTATTCTGTGTCTAATTGGCTAGCACACACTAACTATGCAAGAGTAGTCTTACATCTAGATGTTTTTAACAGTGGCAGTTTATACTCTGCTGGACGAGCCACTTAAAAAAGAACTTTGGGGGAAAAAATTGAGAGTATACCCACATCTTTAGGCACCACTACACCACTGTTTTCAGGTATGTTATACCAGCATGATGGCAACCAACATGACTTATCAACCTGAAGGGCTTGTCATCTGATCAGTTAAGTCGACCTGAACTCAACTTGTTGCCATACAAGTGAAATCAGACAGTCAGTTCAGAGTAGTCATGGGACATTTCATGCAAAGATAATCTGTTCAGTAGAAACACATTAAAGTAAGAGTGATATAATGGTGCAGATGGCTCAGGTGAAAAGCAAAAGTCAAAACAGAGGTACAAATTCAGCCCAAACCAATGTTTTCTGAAACATCAAAGAGGATTTTAGGCACCCAAACTTGACCAAACAGCGACAAAGGTATCACATGTTTAAGATAATTCTAAGAAATGTTAGTATTCAGGTCAGGCAGAGGTGCAAAAACGTTCTAGTTATATTGAGGAAAGGATCATGATTTGGGTGTCATATATGTTTTTGTTACCCATCCGTACCCCCTTCCTCGTAAGCAGACTTTACACTATCAATCATATGCTATTTTTTTGTCACAAACTACAGTGAGACACAGTAGCACAATTAAAAACATGTTAGACTCTGCCTTTTTATGACACATTTGACTTGTAGTTTGATTTCAACGGTTTCACCTCTGAGTATTATTCTTCTCAAAATACAACAAAAGTGAAAAGTAAAGCATCTAAAGTCAGATTATCTTGATGCACAGACCAGAAAGAGATTACTAAATACTGTTTTTTCACTCTCTACAAAAGCTGTGTGCAGTAAAAATGGTCTTACCTGGTTGGGTTAACAGACAGAGACTCCTTAACAGATGTGTGATCAACTGCTGTATGAACTTGGTAAAAACAACTTCTTCCTCAAATACTCAGGGCTCGGGAAGACTTGAACAGGTAAATCCGGTTCTTCCTCTTCACCTTTATTTGGCGCTTTTCACAGCAGGTGTTTCTCTTTTGAACCAATTGAGTAATTATTACCTGTACTGTATTTGGCTTGAACATGGGTATTACCAAGAAGAAGTTCAATGACCCACAGCCTTTGCAGAATGATAAAAAGTTTCAAAACCTGAAGCTAGTTATGGCCTGTTTTTTGGTTTAACAGGTATAGATTCTCACTTTTTTTGCAGTATCTGCACATGGCAAGTACAATGTTGTTATGGTTTTTTAGAATGTTTCTAGTATTACGGATAACACACTGACAAATTAAACACTCAATCATCACTCAACCAACTACAACTTCACTCTGCATCAAAACATCGAGAGAAGAAAGTCTAGTTAGACATGTTAATCATAAATTAATTAGTGCTTAAACATTTCTCAGTACTCTGTCAATGCCTGTAAACAATCATTAAAAATGAGTAACTCGTTTTTGTGTGTATGACTACACTCCCTGTCTGAGGGGCCCCAGGAAATAGAAGTGTCAGTATGTCCTTAAACTTACAAGCTGATTACCTGACTCTTCTCTCTTATTGGTTTGTCTCAAGTTTCCCTGCAGCTCTCTGCGTTCCAGACATTTCCACATTCATTGGCAACAAATTTGTTTTTGTTCTAATTTTTTTCTTCTAATGTGATTGGACAACTGATGCCCCTATTCATTTGACTACAGATGTGCAGCCATCTATCCTGCCCTTCAGCTAACTGAGTACCAGACTATACAGCTAGATTGGCTAAATTGCCAATGCCTTAATTACCACATGTGCAATACTGGACGGTAATCAAGCTGAGCTATAACTAAAGATTTTATCACTATTGTGTTTTCTGTTAGAAAATAAGCGTTCTTTCTCATGATAGAAATGCCTCTGCTCATGTTTGCAACTATATTGTTAATGTGAGTTCTCCATGAAAGTTTTTGTCAATTATTACCCCAAACAGTTTGGCCTCTTTAACCTGCTCAATGGGTTCCCCCTGTAAAGAGATTAGCATCAAGCTAAAAATCTAAGATGCCTGATCCATCTGTGAGAAATTTACCAGCCACCTCTGCTATGTTGAAGTGGTGACTGTTACTGGTTTGTTTTACTAGTTAGAAAGTTCATGTAGTCTTGTAGTAGATCATATTTCTGATGTGTTATCATCATTTAAATTTGTATTTTTGCTATGGTACATGTCCCAAATAGTTATGCAGCCAATCAACCAAACAAATCAGTGTTCCCATGAACTATGTGCTTGGGTAGTATCTGGTGTGATACGGCTCAAAATGATTTTTATCTTGGCTGATTTGCGTCAGACGGATCTCAAGCATTTATGTAATTGAGTGTTTCAGGAGTAAGTGTCATTCAGGAATTCTTGAAAACAACCAACATGGCTGCCATCATTGTATACCTATTGTTTCAGTGTAGCACAGACTGTGAGGTGTTACATAAGGTTGAAAAGAGTTAGTTGTGCTAAATGAATTAGATGGTAGAACATAGCCATTTATACTTCTATGTTGTAACATGTTTTGTG